GTACTTCATCGATCTACCTGTTCTGCTCCCCACTCTCTCTCTGGTGAAGCCTCTCACCGCCCCTGAGCCTCTGGCCTGTACCCCACTTCTGTATGTACAAATAAATAAATCTTTAAAAAAAAAATGTTTTGCAGTGTTCTTTGGCTGTATTTCACATGAACCTGTAGGTACACAGGGCAAGCATGGTGATTTCCATTTATTAGAGGATGAACTAGCTCAGAGGTTTGTGAACTTGCCCCCCTTTGCTATTACAAGGTGATAAGTCAGACATTTACCTATAGAATCTGCTTACGTCTGTCCCTACACAGGAGATAAGGCTCCTAAGTGAAAGAAGAGAATCATTTCCCTGTGGCACAGAAGTCCAAGCTACAGCAGGTGACTCATGGACACTGACTCATTTCGATTCAGCTTGACAAACACAAAACCTCCAGAGAGAAAAACGACCAAAATGACAGCAGTGTGAGATTACTCACTCAGCTACTAAAAGCAAAGCGAGAGAAAAGGGACTACTTAGAAGAAGCAAGGAAAAGAAAAAGGATGTGAAAACCATTCCAGAGTGATCGAAGGAGCAAATCAAGAGTCATGGGTGACCTGGGGGGGGAGCTTCTAGATAAATCCAATGGAAGATGGATAAAGAGGTCTCCCTCCATTCCATCAACTGCAGAGGGCTGTGTACTGCATGGCAGGCTGGTGCTGCTTTGAGTTTCTTATCAATAGTTTTCAGGGTGTGACTGAGAGCTAACCTGTTTCTGACAGTCTGACGAGGACCAAACCAACCCACCCTCAGGGGCTTGTTGTAGAACTCTCACATCCACAGAGGACATTTACCTGTCTTTGGCATCATTCACCCACGTGGCCACCCAACCAGGAGCCTGGAGTCACAATCACACTCTCCTTCACCCCCACCTCCAACCAGGCATTAATACCCAGTAAGGAAGAAGGCCTTTTACAGCTCACTTGATTTTTCTTGTACCCTCTGACCCCATCCCAGTTCAAAGGCCCCTTGCTTATGACCTGGACTAAGCTGTCAGCCTCCGGTGTTTTTCCACCACCACACAGAAAGGCTAAACTGAAAAGATGACCCTGTTGACCTGCAGGTTACAATCTTCAATGCCTTGAAAAAGAGGAGGAAATCTTCATGACCCGACCCCTCCCTTCCTGTTCAGTCTCATCTCTGCCAGTCCCCACTGTACAGTGTAGAGAAGCCACAGGACATGGAGCAGACCCTCCAGTGATCTCTGCTCCTTGATCTAGAACACCTGTCCTCCAGGAGGCCTGCCAAACCTCCATGTGGATCAGATGTTCCTCCTCCATGGATATAGTACACTCTGTGTCTCACAGATAGAACACAGCACACTCTCACAGCTATTATTTAACCATTCCCTCTTCTTGGACTGTGTTCCCAGTGAGGACAGAGACACCTGACATGCGACATGCTGTTTAGCAACACATTGCAGACCCTCAATGAAACTACACATTGAAACAAATAAGTTATGGGTGCTTTGGTCAACAACAGACCTCCTATATGGCAGAGGTCCCAACAGGCTCTCAACAGCCTAGGTTTGCAGAAGGCTGCAGTGCCCGTGTGTGCATAATTATACTCTGTGACCTTTGCTCAACAACCAAATCACCTAGCCACACGCTAGCTTGCAGGACATATCCCATGTTAAGCCACACGTGGTTAAGGACTATATAAAGTCAGTGTCAACAAACATAATACCTCCCTTCAAGAGGCAGTAAACTGGAGGTTGGGCTCTTTCCTGTCACTCTGCTACAGGAAACATATCACTGTCTGCTGAAGTCCCGGCTTGGAACTACCTGCTCTATATGTTTCTGGTGACACAGCAGGATTCCCAGTCTCATGTCGGGAACTCAAACAAAGCATAAGACAGCTTACCCTTTCAGTGAGCAGGTGTGGAAGGTCCTCTTCAGTTGCACAAGCATCTGGAATCTTTAGCATAATCAAGAATGTTTTATTGGAGGATAATTCAGGTATTTCATTTTCATCTTCATCGATGTAAGTTACTAGAGAGAGTGGGGGGAATAGAAGAGAAAGTAAACACATGCACAAAACAACACATATATTTAGCTGGCTGCTATACTGTAAGAAGAAAACAAGCATTCATCAAGAATAAAGGCTGGACATAGTTCAAAGTATAAAGAGAAAAGCCTTCTCTCTGTCAGAACAAATAAAGATAGGGCTTTCTTTGATCATGCTATAAGTTTTGTTTCCTGGTTTTACTCCATGAGGAATTTTAGGGTCTACAGAATAGGGGAGGGAATGTCAAAGGGTGTGAAGAGCATGGATGTCTTCATTACACTAAACCTGCACACTGGTGTCAGGAGAGTGCTGTCAGCATTCTGGGGTGAACAATGGGTGATGGGAAAGAGCACAGTCCAGGTACCTTGTCTGAGTCACCTTCAATATAGTGCACCTGATGAGGAAGGGATCGCCTCTATCAGAGCAGAGCTGGGACTGGGGAACAGGGAGGGCGCCCAGACCTCGCAATGAGGAGACAGGACAAGAGGGACGTCATCACGGGAGTATGACCCACAGGGAGGAACGTGGACCCACTATTTGCAGAAGGGAAACCAAACCACACTCCAAGCCCAAGGCGCTCCAAGATGTACATTCTGAGACAATGAGTTCTCTGTGTGGCTATTTGTGCTTCAACAACTGTGAGCTAATTGATTTCTAAGCAATTAGAACTAAAGGAAAAACACACAAAGTCAGCGCCAGGAGCTAGAAGCTGGCGCTAGCGGTATTAATTATGCTCACGCCCTTGGCCTCCCGCCAGCCCCATGAGCTTGGCTGGCGCAGGGACCCCCTCTCCACCCTGAGAAAGGCGTGGGTGGGCAGGACAGGCCAGGGTTCTCTCCACTCTTCTCTCAGATCTCATGCTTTAGATATAACCTACTCATCCCTTTTTAATTGGGCTTTGCAAAAACAGTGGAAGCAATTGAAAGCTTTGGATGGAAGGGTGGGGGAAAGAAAGGTGAATCCTGGTACCTGTTCCTGGAGGATGCCTGGGAATGTGAGGCATGTGGGGTGAGGGAAAGCAAAGAGTGCCAGCTTAGAAAGACTTTATTTTGTTTGACAATAAAACAAATGCCTTCCTGGTAGAAAACAAGGAAAGTATAGGAAATTCTAGTAAAGCAAGAAAAATATGAGTATTCTTTCATCAGAGATTCCCACCCCCAGCATAGACACATTTTATGTCTTAATGTCTTAAATAGGTCTTAATGGGTAGGTAATTTCTATCTGGCCTTTTGTTATTTGTTGCTGTTGTTGCTTATTTGTCTCGATTCTTTTGTTTTAACACATCAAATATTCTTCCTCATGTATTTCAAATTCCTTACAAAGAACATTTTCAAGGCTGCAAAACATCCGTAATTGGATTACCTATTTTCTTAAATCTGTCTTTCAATCCTGTAGCTTTTCACTGTTACAAATACAGCTGCATCCTTGAGCCCTACATCCACCATGTGCCTTTCCGCAGTAGGCATTAACGCTTAGGGAAGAAAGAGGGGTGCCAGATGATGGGGGAGGGTTTTGCCTCCTCCTCCTGAACTCGAAAGCACTGAGAAGAGATGCCAAGTTTGAAAAGAGGTCTCCAATGACATCTCTAATGGCATCTACTTAACTTTTATCTTCCAAATAATGAATTTGCACCAACAGCTGCTGAAATAATTTTGCTGGTTAAAATTTCAGTAGGTTGACCCAGTCAGCAGAATGTTCATGTCACTAAGGAAGCTTCATCAGGGCAGTACTTTCCATTTAGAGATGTCGTATTAAAAACACACACACATACACACAAACACACACACACACAAAGCATACACAGTGTAGGGGAGGTGCTCAAGAACAGTTCTGGGGAGCTTTCTTGGTGGCACAGAGATTAAAGTCTCAGCACTATCAAGCTATCCCTAGCCACTGTGGCAAGAGTATGATCCCCAGTCTGGGCACAGCAGGCCTCTCCTCTCTTGTCGCTGCTCCCCTCAGCAGTGTATTTCAGTAGATCTGCCTGTTTTGCTCCCCACTCTGTCTCTGGTGAATCCTCTCCCCTGTCCCACACTTGGCCTACACCTCAGTTCTTGCATGCATGCATAAATAAAAATAAATCTTAAAAAAAGAGCAGTTCTGTGAATGGAATATAAGAAATGAGACCGAAGAAGGTGGCCTGAAATGCCAGGTGTGTTCAGGAGATAATGGAGGTTGTTCATTGTCTCCCAGGAAGGAAGTGGAGATCGATCTATTGTGATGGGGGTATGAAACGGGGTTGGCGGAGCCTGGAGGCAGAGAGGCCACAGGCACATGACTGTGAGAGACAGAGTTTGAGTGACAGTGGTGGAAGGGAGGACAAAGTCCAGGAGAGTGGAAAGGGAGTTGGTTTTAAAGATAATCAGACTTAGTTTGAACCCTGACAAGTCACTTAAATTTCAGAAACCAAAACCTATATTTAGATGATGGTAGAAAGGACCAACACCTGACTGTACCCGGCAGAGTGCCTTGCAGCACTGGGCAATGAGTCATGGAAGTTACTATCAAGATATGACCCAGGGATGAATGAAGAAATCTGGCCATTACCCATATATCGGAGAGATAAGACATCAACATGGTTCCAAGAACATGTTTCCTCACAAAAGGAAAAATAGCTGCTATGTACAGTTACTCAGCTGTGCAGCTTTTGTGACCCTCACATCAACCTTATGGCTGAGATATTCATGTTTTCATTTTTAAATGAGGACATTTTAAAATTGAGTCTTAAAGAAAATGCATTAGATGTTTAACCTGGGCCACACCAGACCTTCTGACTCATCAGGTTCCTCAACTTGGCCACGTTGAAAGATTTCCTTGTCTACCATGAACCCAGTGACTGCTAGCTTCTCTTCCATAGGGTGTACATAGCCTTGGCTCAGTGCCCGGAGCCTAGATTTGACATCACTCAGTGGGGGGACAAAGGGCAGAAGGGGGGGGGGACAAAAATAACTTGAGATAGCAAGTAACAAAGACAGGGCTCATTTAGAGACGTCCTTTTCAGAGACCATTTATATCCACAAAGACAGAAACTGAGGCCAATAGTGTTGAAGAATTTGCCTGACTGGGATGGTGGCAAATCCAAGAATGGACAACTGCTGTCTTGAAAGTAAAAGAAAATGTGAAAAGCAAGAAGCCTGATGATCAGACCCATGGGCCATAGTGTGGAGACTAAAGCAGAAACACCTAAAAACTTAAATTCTAGGAATTCTGCAGACACGGTAGAGTGTAACAGCACTGACAGAACTGAAAGCTGTAAACAGCAGAAAGCAGGAGAAAGGCCCCTGGGTTTCATGATCAAGTATCTCCGGTGACCTCAGAATGAACCCTTTGGGCCCAAAGATGCAAACAATTTCAAAATCAGCAGGAAGCAGGGTCTGAATGCATACCTCCCATTCTAGAAGTTTGCTGGTGAAAGGAAAGAAGAAAAATCTAAATGAAGTAGCAAGGTTCTGGTAACAGACTGTCCCAAAGGAGAGTCATGCTGGCACAGCTGAAGAGGCTCACACTGTGATGAGGGTGATGATGCTTAGAGAGAAAAAGAAAATCCCGGGTCAGAATGAGACTGGTGATCTGGGGAAAGTGGACTATGTCTATTTGGAAATGTAGAGAAATATGGATTGAGGGACAAGAGAAACAAGTGAAAATGCAAAAACAAAATTTCAAGGGTCTAGGCCTACACAGCTGTTATTATGTTTCCTTGCCCCAGGACCTTGGTAGCTTATTACCTACTACATTGTCTGGTTAGGACTTTCCCATGAGTCACCCTAAACCAGGGCACATTGCCCTGTGCAACCCGTATGCCTCCCAGAATGATGTGAAGCCATAAGATATGGCACTAATTCCCAACTCAAAGACAAAACAAACCTATTCAATACAGCAGTGTCAATTAGGAAGTCCAGGCTGTATCTCAGTACCAGAGGACTCAGGAAAGCCTTTATGTTAAGTGAGCAAAAGAATCCAGGCATCTATACGGCCAGGGAATATCATGTAAAGGCCCCTGGAGTGTTAAAACTGATGATCTTTAAGCCATATTTTGAAACACTACCTACTTGCCAGAGTTCGGTGTTTGCATCATTTAAAATATTTTGCCGAGTTCAAAGAGAGGTTTCATTATTGTGGTTTGGGTAAACCAGTGAAGAAAGAACCTCTGAAAATAATAAAGTCATCTTGCACACTATCTAAAGAGCTGGTAAAAAAAAAAACCAGGCCATCTCATTTCTTGGATGCTCCAAAATGGCCATGTTGGAAAGATTTTCCTTGTCTACTGTGAAACTGGAAGAATGTTAGTCTCTCTCGTAGGGCATACATAGTCTTTGGGCTCAATGTGCATTCATTTCAATGGCATGCCACTGGGGAGGACCAGTCCAAGTGCAGGCAATAACATGCCCAGCCAGTAGGGAATTAACACTACAAACCTACCCCAGGTTAGCCTGCTTATATCATCATGTGATGGCCCACCTGAACAATGTCACTGATGAGCTACACCTCTCGGTCTGGTAACCCACAGGCCTCTCTTCAACTAGCTTCCCTTTCTGCCCTGGCTTGTGTTACCTGTCCCACTCCAGCTCCATAGTTATGAGCTCCACCCTCCAAACTGCAGCCTGGGAGCTAGATGAAGTTGTGAGACAGGAAGCTAAGGATCTGGGAGGAGGAAGGACTAAAGACAGAGAAGGAAATGAGTACACATGAAGTTCACAAGAATCTCACTTCTTGTGCTCAGAAGTTCTTCAAATATCTGATCCCTAGCAATGAACTGGCAGTTAGGCAATACCCAATTATTGCAGTCTGCCATCCCAGAAGTACCTACAGAGCTACTCTAGGTGAGGCTGGGACTGTCATAGACAGAGCCCTGACCCTGCCTCTTCTTACCCCCTGCACTCCAGCATTGCCCATGGGACTCTGCACAGGCCCAAATCCCCAAGGGCTGATAGGCAAAATAGAACACAGGCATTGCCCTTGTGTTCTCCCCTGAATATTTCCTATAAACTTTCTCCCCTGAATATTTCTTATAAACTTTCATGTTGTCCTGAGGAACTGCTGAAGGAAATACAATCTCTTCCTCTGCAAGCAGCTATGGGAATGAAGAGATCTGATAACTTTTGAGAAGGAAAACAACTCTCAGTGCTCGGGCTTTATAATCCTGCACATTTAACCAACCAGATCTATTGCGTCATCCTTTGTTATAGGCTCCAAATGCAGACGGACAGATCAGCCAGCTTTCAGGATAGAGCCAACTAGGGTGATAGGACAAGACCGTGTGACTCAACTTCAGTTTCAACACCCACATGTGGGAGTTGATGGGCAGAAGGAGTATGAATGTTCACACCACAACTGCTGTCCTCTGCACGGTGGATGAGCTGAACACCTCTAATTAACTTCTCCTGCCTCAAAACCAGCCTGTGGCCCCAGTCAGCCTCCATCTCAGCACCTCCCTGAGTAACTAGGGAAGCAGGCACCCACCTGGGGAACTCCATCGTGCCCTTCCCAGCGGTTATCTGCTACTGCCTCCCACCCTTCAGGAGCTATAAAACGTGGAAGCAGGAGATACAGGGGTCAGGAGGAGGCTGAATGGAGACAAATGGCAAATGTAGATGCTGAGGGAAGTTCCCAGGAAACTTTGAAAGAACCAGGGGTCCCCTATCTAAGCTCTCAACCTACGACTGGGTTTACAATAAAAACCTAACTTAACCCAAGTGCTTTTGGAGACTGTGTTACCCTTTAGAGTATCCCACTCCCCACCCCAAAACAAGAGTATCCCAGATTCCCATCCTTCCATCAATTTTCTTCTTTTCTATTTTGAAATTGAAATGATCAGCCTCTGATGGTGCTGTATTTATTCATCATGAAAAATAATAGCGATAATTATAAACACTTGGTGATCACCTGAAAAGGTTTTAAATCATGTGGAACACTATATTATGCAGTCATTTTTTTTTAAAAAGATGTTCACAAGTAATTTTTAGTGACTTAGCAAAAGGATCTCAATAGAATATTAAAATCCTAAAGGCCACAGACTATGAAAGGATCTGACCTCAAATGGTTTTAGAAATGAAAATGAAAAAGACTAAAAGAAAATGCAACAAAATATTAAATCACATGGATGGATGTTATGGGTAACTTTATATGTACTCTTACATTTATAATAAATAATAAAATCTATATATAACATGTGTAGTTAGCAACATGTAAGTTTTTGTTTTGCACACACATACAACAAAATACAATAAGTTTATTTTCAAAATAAGTTTAAGTAATGACAACTTACAGATACATGTTTCTATAAAGTATTTTCAACTCTAAACTATACATCATTTTGTCACTATCAAATATATACTTGGTATACCAGCTGAAACACAGTAATTATTTTTCCCAAACAAATCTAAGGGAAAAACCCTTCAAACTAGTACGTTTGATATACTAGTAAGAGATATACCAAAAGGAAATATAAATATGCATTTAAGTAAGTTAAATATGTAAGAAATCTTTGCAAAGATCAGTTTAAAGTAAAACACTGGTCTCCATACTTTTTCCAGAATTTATAAAACAAAGAAAATTAAAAGCAAGAATCCTATATGTGTGTGTATGTGTATATATATATAATATTATATATAAAGATCTATAGATATCTCCCACCAAATTTTAAGTTTGCATTACAAATAATATGGACTTAATAGTAGATAGCAGGTAGTGAAATAATAATGGGGACATTTTCCATTTCAGTGTATGTCATAAACATTAAACAAGTTCTTAAAATGCATGAGCTTAGTCATATTTAAATTTTCTTACCTCCAATAAGACATAAGCTTATGATGATCAGTATAATGAAAGCTACGAAAATAGAGGTGATAGCCATCCACAGTTTGCACTTTCCGATCAAAACTTTATTGCAGGCGCTCCAGGGGCCTTCCTTTTCAGCCTGGAAAGCAGAGGAAGGCTATGAGGCAGTCATCTGGTTTCAAGGGGCTCTGCTGAAAGCTCCCTAGAGGCCAGCAATACATAAACAGGTAGCAGGATTCTGACCTCAAGGGGCTACACTCACTGAGTCAGGGTCACTGACAGACATAACAAGTGACAGAATGGAAACTCACAAGGTGAGAAAGTAAAGACATGGATGCAGCAGCAGGAGGGCATTATGGGTTGTGAGGTTGGCAAGGGGAGGAGACGTAGGACGTAGGACATTGAAAGGCAGAAAGAAAGCAAAAGCATCCCAAACCCTGAGAAAGCATCCCTGGTGTCGACTCAGAATGCAGCGGATGGACGCAGTCATTCACCTGATGGAAATGTGGATTTCAAAGAGTTCAGATTAGGGAGAGGAGAATGAGTCCTAGAGCAGTTTGGATTTGATTGGTGTGACCTGGGGACGTGTGTAAAGTCTGGAACACAAGAGCTGAGTTAAGAAAAGAGGAAAATGCTGTGTGGTTTAGGGTGGACACAAGAGAAAGCTAAGTAGCTACCAGACTTAGGTAATGAGGGCCTCAGGAGGGAAATGAAATGATGAACGCAAGAAGAAGTATGTGGCTGTGGGTGTAGTGAGGCAGAGTTTGGAGTCACAGTGAGTAATTACAACTATGGTTTACTGATTCCCAAGCTGGCTTCATCCTGACGCTCCTCCATGTAGGCACCAGCCCATCTCAGAGACGCAGTCAGAGATCAGCCAGGGCTAGTCCCTGCTGTGTCACTGCGGAGCTCACACACTGCCTTTCTGCACCCCGCCCTGGAACCCCCTGCAGACCTCCAGCTCACCCCCTAACTGCTCTATTCTCAATGCCATCACCAAGCCCTGAAGTCTGCTCGACTCTTCTGCTTCCCTCTGAGCCACTACGCAATTCTCACATGAAGATCATGGGGAGCAATGGACTGAGACAGGGGGAGGAAAGCATGTTTCTACAGCAGGAATCCAGCTCCAATTATGCAGCCTAAATGCAGGGTCACTATCAGCAAGAGACTGAAACTCCCTCACCCCAGTGTCCTCAATAGTAAACCTATTAATATATAAACTAGCTCATGGGACTGTGGTGGAAACCAGAGATAGAGGACACGCAGCACTTGCAGAATAAACATTCATGTACAAATGGGCGTGATCACTGCCAGTGTTCCCTGGCCTATGAGTAGCAGCATTGCAGGTGCCTCCTGGGTCCACACTTTGTGTTGACTTACTTGATCTTCCAGCGTGATTGTGGTGAGGCCTTTAGAAAAAAGCTGCTTGTCCATATTAGGCTCACAGTTCTTAGAGAGGTTCCCACACCTGGATGCCTATCAGCATCACCTGGGAGGAATTTAAACTAGAGCAGTAAGGGTCCTGGGTCCATCTGGACAGAACAAAATCCTCTTAAAGTAAATGTGTTTCCAGAAGAAAAGGAGAAAGCCCTCTTGAGCCCCACCAGAAGAATGAGAACTGCTCCCAAGCCACCAAATCAGGAAAAGAAGTCCCAATGCAAGGGACTCTGTCCCCCTTATAGGACAGGAACACGCCGGGCACCAGTGAGACCAAAATCACCCACACTAACTCTTAAGCCTTCACTTATGCGGTCCCTTGGAGATCCAAAGTCAGGACCCTAGTGGTTTGAGGAAACGCCCACTCTGTGACTCTTGGGGGAACTCAACTCAGAATTATACAGTCCAGAACCTACAACCTACAGACCGCTCCACTTCACTGTCCTGTCTTAGTCGTAAGGGAAAGAACATTATCTCCCCCGTGATTAATAGTCACAGACTTTAAGTAACTATCAGTCTGTCGGCTACACCTCACGTACAACTAGAGTCTTTTTCTGTTGCTTGCACATTAAACCAATGCAAGAATCATAATTTTTTTTTTATGTGCCCATGGTGGCCCTGGGGTGGAGTGTGACACAGTGTGTAGGTATGTGCTACCTGTGCTGAGTGTCCCCTCAAAACTGGATCCTGAAGATATGCTGTCTCATTCAGTGACTTCTTCACTTTCTCTTGCTCAAATTCTAGGTCATGAGGCAAGCCCACAGGTAGGTTCTTCTGTAGCATGCTTCCAAGAGAATTTTGCAAACTCTCTCTTACATTTTAAATTTGCATTATATGGTTCAAGAATTTGTGTGTTTTCCCTCCACACATTCCGCTGGATATCCACATCCCTCTTCATGGAAGGGTCCAAATACTTGGCACAGGGTCCCACAACAGTGGCAAGACTCCTGATATCTTAAAGACAAGAAATTTTTACCCTCCTTGATTCAATCAGCAGAAAGTATATAAATCTGGGGGAAATGTCTGAATACATAGGAAAATATATACTTTGTAATCTTCATTGTAGGATTTAATCTATTTGTTGAGCCAAGCACAAAAGAATCAGTTGATTCTTGTCCAAAATTCTGAACAGTGTGCAGCAATGGGATTGATTTTTAGCGAGCTCAGTCATAAAAGGCTTGACTGCCTCCGAACCCAGCAATGACTTGGTTTGTTATTATTCTGAAGATGCTACTTCCCTTAAAACAACTTGGGGACTTCCGTTTGGAAACTGGGTCAGAGTCCATATTATGAGCTCATAGACCTCAAAAACTAGTCTCAATCTATCCCCATTCGTTTCTTTTTCACTTTTAACTCGGTCACATAGTCATGTTGATAGTGACTGCAGGAAAATGCAACAGGGTGGTTTATCTTCCTTGCCTCCAAGCCTCAGATTAAAAAAAAAGGTGAGGGGGAACTAAATTCTTTCTACAGCCCTTGAGTATGTAAATTCTAAGATCAAGAAAAGGTTCCTAGAAATTGTAATTTTAAGTGAAACAACACATAATGAAAGCAGGTGTTGGAATAATGTTGCTCTAGGGCAATGTTGGCCTGGATTTGTTTTCTCATAAATGTTATAATGAAACAACTTTGAAATGGCATTATTGGAGGACTTGGGTACTGTCCTAGCTCAGCCCTTCCAAGTTGGGAGATGCCCAGAATCTGGGCTTTTCTTCATCCCAATGACCCCACACCTGTTCCTTATTTTTCCCTTCAGCCAATTCCCTTATCAATTCCTCATATTTCAGTTAAATCCTTTGCCCTACAGAAATTAGAAAACTGTAATTTAGGCATTATATACAAATATAAATTATTATCATATGTACACATTTAAAGTAAATATATATACAGCTACCTAGAAATCAACAAAAACAGCCAATGTTTGAGATTTTAAAAGCCTTGAAATACAAATGTCATCATTCGAGTTTACCCCTGAGTGAACTTCTTTTGGAAATTCATCTGAGTCTCAGGTTCTTACTCAGTTTCTTCATTTGTCAAATTGGAATACTGAATACTCTTAAATTTGTTATGATAACTATATTTGTATAGCAGAAGTATTGGGAACTTACCAGGTACTAAACAAAAGGTTAGTTGAAAATATATGGACTAGCTGTATTTAAAGACTGGAAATCATAAGGACACCTCAAAATTCTTAAGAGTCTGGATCCTGGGCCTGTGTTAATCCAACTTTACCAATCTCTACACCGGCTGACTTCAAGTTTAAGTATACTTCAACTTAATCTAGAGCCAAAGAGAATAACTAACACATTAGATGAGGGGCTTGTCTCCTTTTTTAAAGTTTCGCTTGGTGAAGCATTTTGAGAATTTCCCTGAAGCTCTCTTGTAACCCTCCACCTTCACACCATCCTGACCCTCATCATGCCCCAATTTCATGACCTACAAAGCTAATTCACAAGGAAGTCTAAGCTACCTGTGTATACCTGACCAACAAGAAAGTCATTAGACCGTGAAAAAGCAATTTCTACTAGGTGAGTTCTAGATTATTATAAAGTACTGATACCACAGTGTTTCTGGCATGTCTTACTACTCAACCAATTTCAGCAAAGCATTCCCAGACCTCGCAAAACAGGTTAGTCACATTATCACCTTTTGATACCTGGGGACACACAGACCTAGTCCCTTGCTCCAGCAAACACCTTTCAGAGGTGCAGAACTCTGACCTTGGATTTGGTCCTTAACCATGGAGGTTTTGGGGTGTTCTGGGTCTAACACCAGACAAGTATTCCGAATACCCTTTTACCCTTTCAAAGATACTGCTTGGAGTTTCCATATAGTCAGTCCACAATCGTAGCCACTTACTGTGGTGTTCACCTTTCATTCAAATATGTACCAAACTGTCCTCCAGGATACTACAGAGATCTATAAAAGCAGACTACACAGTATTTCCAGAAATCAATACAGAAGCAAAAGAAATGCTTTCAATGTTTGCATTTCCTGCTTATTCATGCAATCAACCTTTAAGCAGTCAAAGAGGTTGGGGTGGAGGAATGGGACCTAAAAAATCAAGTTGGAACTATATGGGGGGGGGGCAGGAGGGGTGTATTCCATGTACTCAATAGATCTCAACAGTCTAAGGGGTTAATCAAAAGGGAGAAGGTTCAGAATTCAAAGTCTTTGCTTTTTTACAAGCATATGATGAGAATGAATAATGTTCATCACTGCTAGGCATGAATCATAAAAGAGCTCAGTCTAAATAAACATCTTAAGGATTTCCTTAAGGACTGCAATGAGGCAAAAGCAACTGAGGCAGAATCTAGTCCTCTGGTGCAAGAACCCTGAAATAACTTCCTCTTATTAAGCAGAGTAAATTCATTCTCCCCTGTCCATCTCTCTCTTGCGAAGTTAAATGGCCAGGTTAGGAAACACTGAAAGGGATGGTATGCCCGGGGATGGTGAGCTGAGAGATGAGGGTGGCAGGTGAGCTGAGAGATGAGGGTGGCAGCTGAAGGGAGGGTTAGTGAGAGATGGAGACCGGTGGTGTAAGAGAGGAAGTAAGAGTCGAAAGAAAAGAGATCATCACGCTAGTTCTCCCTACTGAAAAATAAAACCAAAACAATTACAGAACTTTTTAAAACCGCCTCTATCTCAGAATTCTCTCGAAAGAAAGGCGCAGTGGCACACCTCACAGATAGGAGTCCTCAAATCCCACGGGGGTCGAGGACTACCGGCGAGCTCAGAAGAGGTCTCGGGGAGCCCAGGCTGGAGGTTATTCCCGCGTCCGCTCCAGTGAGACTCTTCTAGAGCATCTGTAGCGCCGGGAGAGCTGGCTGGAAACCCGAGACGCTGCCGGGGTCAGCCTGGGTCTTGGCCGGGAGCCCGGCCGAGCGCGCTCCAGTAACACGGCCGGCGCCAAGGGGCTCTCACCTGGGCAGGGCTGGGCTCCTGGGGGGCCGAAGGCACGTCCAGGACATCTCCAGTGAGAGGCGTCGCCTCGTTCTGCAGCACCTCGACCGCCGAGAGCTCCATCTCGTCTCCGGACGCCTGGAACCCGGCCGCCTCCATGGCCAGGCAGAGGCGGTTAGCCGCCCGTCTCGAAGCAGGTTGCGCTCGCCGCACCCCAGGGTGCGGAGGTCAAAGTACTCGGCCCGAGC